GCCAAAACAAAATAGCACTTTGTCCTAGAAATTCTTAACAGTCACTTCAGCAACTTGACAAAATTAATGGAAAGTAACAGCAAGCTGGAGTAGTACACAACATGCTATTCTTCCAACAGACAGAAGTGCTGCTTCTGCTGCTGCCCTGAACTTGGTCATAGGGTATTCACTTCTGTAAATACAGGCTGCCAATTGAGAACACCTTTCCCTTCCTTTATAATTGACTTTGTGTTGAGGTCAACCTTTACTGAAAGTAGAATATTAGTGCTATTCAGCTTAGAGAAATGGAAGCATTTCTTTTCTCTCTGCCCTCCTTCTCTGGAGGGACAGCCTTGGAATAAATGAGGAGTCCCGGCAGCTACCACAAGAGATTGAACATTTATTTCATCGTAAAAGTCCAGCAGATAAAACTATATACAGTAATCCATGCACACTGTCCAATTACACAAACATTTAAAACCTGATTAAAACACAGTCTGCACAACAGTGGGACAGCAGGGCAAAATTTTAGTTTAGTGGGGGACATAGTCATGTTTATATTTTGGATGCTGCTTGTAGCCTACTCTCTCCCCAGCAATAAGGCTCTGGATCACCCACTCTTGCGAGACAACAGGCAGCCGTAAAGCTTCTGCACACTTCAAGACACCAGCTGGGCAGGAAAAATCAGTCACCACCACATCATAAACACCCAAAGCAATATCTGCACAGGAGGAAAGACAGGCATCTGTCAGGTGAAAAAAAGAAAAAGGATCTTCCCTGTAGCAGAAGATCAGCGTGCTTCACTATGAATCTCTCTTTCATGTCCTCTCATTCCTAGCCATTGAATTCTCATTGTAAAAGTTAAGACATGCTCTGGAGCAACACTGCACCTTTCAAGGAGAAGATTCCCTCTAGCTGAGATAGAAATTAACAGAAAACCAGCAGCCAACATTACAGGCAGGACTAGAAAACCTTAAGTCCTGACCTCAGGCTGTGAGCAGTAGGGCCTACATCCCTTATCGAGAGGAAGAGACAGTTGAGTTCAGAAGGACAAAGCAGCACAATTTTAGTGGCCTACGCAAGGTCCAGGAGCAACTCCTGCCTATTTCACCCTTTCAACACAGGCTGGAAGCTGACGGCTTGTCCTCTGAATTGCTGCAACATCTCCTCTGGAAGGTGGGTCTTGCAGATGTAATCTAGATTACATTCAAGCAGAGAGCTAGTGTCTGCACTTTGCCTTCCTTTATGCTTATAGACAACCAAGTAAGCCATCATAAATGGTTTTAAACCATACTAGAGATCACAGTGGCATGGGATTCCCAGCTACTAGGCCTGAGAAACTGCCCGATGAGTACCTTTGTTGTGAGCATTTGAGTAATGCTGTTTAACAGATGCTGCTCCCCCAGTCATAAGGACTTCAGACCACAAATCCAGGAAGTTCTGCTGCTGGTCTGACACCAGGAGAACCTTCAAGTTATGGAATGGGTTTTCTCGTGGGTGCCTGTAGAATAAAGAAGAGAAATGCAGACTGCTAAGAATATCCAGTAGTCTGAGACTTTATTTGAGGACCATTATCTACTTCTAGTCACCTGATTTGCTTCCATATTGTTCTTTGAATATCCTGCGTACAATGACCTGCTCTCTTACCACCCCTCCTGAAATACTTGGAACAATTATCCTCTGTTTATAGATAGTAAAAGAGCCAGACAACATTGGTGGGTTATGTGTGCAGCGGCTTAAATCCAAAGTTAGGCTAAGCTCCTCCTTAATCATGAACCAACTTTTCTGTGCATATCCAAAATGTCTCCCCTTTGACAGGGCTGAGCAGGCAGGCATCAGTCTCCTGCCCAAAAGCCCACAGAGATTTACAAACTGCTTTTGTCCACCCCTCGCCTTGCCTGAGGAGTCTCACCTAACATTTGATCTCTCAGAACAGAACAACTGGATTAGACTCCATAGAAAATGCAGAAGCTGGCTTCAAAACGTACCAAAGGAAAAGGAAATTGCAGTAGTATTGCTCTCCTTTATCCATTGATGAGCAATTAGAGAAGTCAGCCAAGTGTGTGGGAAGCCTTGCCTGAATTCCATCTTCCTCATGAGGAGACTGACATCTTTCTTACTTCCCAGGAGACTGTCTTTTTTGTGTATATGGCACCCAAATGTACCTTGGCATTAGAGGTCACTGTAAATCCAAGGAAAGAGATGGAAGTGCTGTTCCTAAATGGAAGGGAAAGCATGGGGAGCAGTACTAGGGACACCTTCAGTACTTGTAGGATTCAAGAGCTTCCCAAGCATAACAATTCTCTGTGATTAAATCCTCAGTCTGTGGACTCAGATCATGGCTATTTAGCACTTACCATTCTAGCAATTTTTGCTCCTGGAGGCTATAACCAGCTGGCAAAAGGTAATTCCGATAATTTTGAAGCTGGTTAGCATGACAGCTATCATGAACCCAGATATGAGACACACAAGGGATCCCTCTGGCAAGGCACAGCAAGTATTTCCGAGTTCGACAATGCTGGTCCGCAATTAAAAGACACTGATATGCTGCATTACACTTCAGGGGAGATAAAAAGACATGTAAACAGGAGACAATGCTTGCAAAGACTCAGAAGTTATCCTGCTGCTAAACACTTTAAAGAAGAAAACAACTGAAACCCTGATTTTCACAGCCATATTATGTGAAAGGTGAATTAGATAAACAGATTCTGAAATCAGGAGTACCTATAATAACCACCTATTCCAAGCTATGCAGTTCACAGGCAAAAACCTCTGCCTAGTAGTTTTTGTATCACAACTATCTCTTCCAGTTCAAACAAAGGAGAAGATTAATCTTTTAGTTTGAGACTCAGTGAGTCACTAGAGAAGACTCTGCATCCTCAGGCAAGATGCTCCAAGAACAATTTACCCTCTCTATTAAAAATGTAAATTTCAGTAAAAGTGACACTAAATGAAATTAGTTGTCCAAGTAGATCTGGTAAGTGCAGAGTGAAGAACTCTGCATCTAAGTGTTCTGAGGCACAGGCCTGTGGTGAGACTACATCTGGAGTACTGCATCCACTCCTAGGTTCCGCAGTACAAAACCACAAGACATAATGGAGCAGGCCGAGCCGAGGGGCGCTAAGATATCTAAGCATTGGAGCATCTGACATATAAGAAGAGGCTGAGAGAACTGGGTTTAAACTCAGGAAGGGAAGGCTTTGGTGGTCTTATCAATGCATATGCATGACTGATAGGAGGGTATACAAAAGATGGAGCCAGACTCTTCTCGGTGTTATCCACTAAAAGGACAAAAAGCAACAGATACAAATTGAAATACAGGAAATTATTTTTTTTCTTTTTCTTTTTTTTTTTCCTCCCCTCTCCCCCAAATTGGGAGTGGTTAACCACAGGATCAAGTTACCCAGAGGGGCTGTGGAGTTTCCATCCCTGAGGATACTCAAAACCCAACTGGTCAAGAACATAAGAAATCTACTCTATTTGATACTGCTTTCGGCAGGGGGGTTGGACAAGATGAGCTATAGCAATTCCTTACAATCTCAACCACTCTGTGACTATCATTCTAGATTAGTAAGCAAGCCCTTACCTGGGTTTCATTGAAGTCTTCCAGAATATAGCCAGCTCCTGCTCGCAGCTGCTGTGCTATGTAATGTTTGTCGTATGGAGTCATCTCTAAAAATTCTACAGCAGAAACAGAAAGTTCCATTTTTGGCTATAGCCTATCTGCTTATATCCATATACTCCTCAGTCTACAGAGCCCTCATCCACTCCAATAAGGGCAGTAAGGGATGCCAGCCTTTCTCCTAAGAATATCTAGAAAAACCCTTGGAAGAATTAAAAAAAAAAAAAAAAAAAAAAAAGGGCAGCAGAAAGGGAAGCACAGCACTGGAAAAACTAGCCAAGTGAGCACTTTTTCGATGCTGCAATTCATTGCATGAAACATGACCCTAGCAAAGGCAAACTGGAGCAACGCATTCATGCTTTAAAGTACTATGTTTCCCAGCATTATCCCTTATCTCTCAAAACCTTCCTTCTCGTATTATATTATTCTGAGACTGCTGATCTCACTAATTTTCACACCTTTAACTTGCTGAACAGCCCTATGATCATCATTGATGTTTGCCACATTTCAGGCTGTAAATTCTCTAATAGAGACTTAGGTGCTTTCTGCAAAGGATTAAAGAACAAAAGGGTAAAACAAGCATTCACACAAATGTCTGATCAGACAGCATCCGGCAGTTTTCCTAAAGCCACAGCATTCCACTTGGAAATGCAATGGGTAAGATTTGCCTCACCTTCTTCCTCCTCGCTACTTCCTGTGGGACCATCCGATGGCTTCTGGTGATTGACCAATTTGTCACTGGGTGACGCCATAGTGAGGAGAAAGGCATAGCCCAAAAAGAGGGTCTTACTGTGGGGCAAGGGTCCATGATGGTCCTCCAGTACTGGGGGATCTACAGCATCTACACCTTCACAGGTGCTTACAAGCTCTCCAGCTCTCACAGCCCCTGCACAGAGAGAGAAGGACCATGAGTCTCAAAAGTCAGGTTCAGCACAAAGACCCTGGGTAAGATTTGGGATATGTTCAAGTGCAGTTATTTTACTAGAGGAGACACAGGGAGGCAGGACTGGGTTAGGATTACACGAGGATAAGTAGGGATTTTTTTTACCCTTCTGGTTGCAAAGAATCTTCACATCAGAACCTGAATGACTAATGGGACAATGTTCGCCAGTCTATCAACATCCTAAAACAACACTTAGTGTTGTGAAGAGTCTTTTTAACAGCTATGCATTTCAGGACTGGCTAAAGGGGTAAGAAAAGAGATAAGAAGGGAGAGAGGCAAATCACAACATTAAGGTCACAACATTTCTAAAAGGCAGAACTGAAAAAATGGCAGGTAAGTACTCAGACTAAGGTAAAAATATTTCTGGCTGCTGAATGCATCCAGGGAGAATCAGTCTCAAATCCTGCAAGGCAAACAAGCATCTCATCTACTTTTTGCTTATGGGAAGTGGAAAGATGAATTACAGAAATACCGGGGGGGGGGGGGGGGGAAAAAATGAGAAGCTGAATGCAAGTTTAAGAGCAGAAAATAAGGTTCTCACCAGGCTTTATCATTGCTGACTTGCGGCCACGTTTAGCTGGGGATCTCTCATCTTCAGAGGCAACAAGTTTTCTTTTCCCAGACAGTGTGACTGGTGGTATGCGCGGACTCTCCTGCCCTTTACGAGTAGGAGTTGTGCTGCTGCTGGAAGTGCTGGGAGAACCAAGGTTACTACGTCGCTTCCGCTTCCCCTCCACAAGATTATCTGTGAAACAGAATGCAGAGATTAGTCACTGGGTGTCACCTAACTCCACAAGCTTTCACCCTTACCTATATGTATAAAGGTGGCTAAACTCAATAGTACCTAGATGGTACACACTACTACCCTCTGACAGAGAAGAGCAAGAAAAAAAAAATTTTTTAAAAAAAAATCTCACTTGTGTATCTTTCTTCCCAAGCCCTGTACCCTCCCCGTCTCTTTTCCTCCCAGTACTGCAGAAGAGTTCATAGCGGCCATCCACCGAGCGTAAATGAGTACAGCAAGTATCACTGTCCTAGAAGGAGGCCACTCCCCACAAACCAGTCAATACCACTAAGTCTCTGAACAAGACACAGAACAAGTATCTCAAAGATTCCATTAAGTACCAAAAGCATTGTTGAATACCCAGAAAGATTTAAACACGGGTAATTCAGATCAGGAACTAGAAGCATCTCAAAGGCACAAGACACAGAACAGCACGGCCAGCAGCTAAACAGCACCTCCCCTTACCGAGACTGATGTCAGCTGCTTTGGTCAGGGGGGTGACAGGTTCATAAGGACCTAGCCCAAACTGCTCCCGGAGCTTATTTCCTTGTTCCAGAGACAGGATAACAGCCATTCGTTTGTACCACTTCCTTTGGCCTTCCTTTTCAATGCAATAGTATAGCTCTCCAGACTCCTTCCGGTGTCCCTTCACCACACCTGACAAGACATCAAATAACACCTGTTAACCAACTATACCCAGGCTTCTCATCGTCCTGGACAAGTACCCATCTCCCATTGCATTCAGCAACTCAGAAAACCCATGGATGGAGCTCAATCAAGCACTGCTCTTACCTGCACTAAAGTACTCATCCTCTGAGAGTGCGGTCACCTCAGTCTCCAGTGGGATAGGATCACAGAGTAAAATATCTTTTCCTAGCACATCACATTCATATCCATCATCAAAGAGCAGTTTGTACTTTCCTGCCCCAACATCTTGGGTAATCATCCCAGAATAGAAGTATCCATTTGAGGACCACTTTGCTACAACTCTGAGGCCCACAAAGCTGCTCCCAGAGGATGAGTCTGCACAGTCTGAAGTACCAGTCACCACTTGTAATGGGATTTCTGGAGAATCACTTCGACGTAAGGCACAGAAGCCAGAAGTGTCAGATTTCTCCCCTCCATCTGGCAGGCGAACTGAATGAGTAAATGATTTCTCCTCAGGTGATGCTGTAGTTGAGAGATCCTCCACACCTGGCAGTCCAGATAAATCTCTGTAGAAAAGATAAAAGCAGTCCCAGAAGGATCAGGAAACAGTTACTAAACAAAGAATACTTGGGTGAGATGCTTGCAGCTGCTACATGCTATCACCAAAAACTAGCTCCTGAAAAAATTCAGTGCTCCTTTTTCTCTGTCACATTAAGATAGCAGCTCCCTATTCTCTTCCTTGGCAATAAATTAAATTTACAGTCTCCTTTTTCCAGGGTACCTTGTTCCTGTTGTTCGAGATGGTGGGCGGCCTCTTCTTCCTCGCCCACGAGGTGTCACAGGTGCTTTGCCACCCTGACGTGTGCCAGGCATAGAGTCCTCCTCTTCCTCACAAGGCAGTGCTCCTGTCTGGCTAACTCTGAGTGGAGATGCTGGCTGACCAGCTCCTTTCCTAGGGCTAGAGAATTTATGAGTTAGCTGTTCTGAAAAGAGAATCCAGATCGTTAGGATCCCCCCCCACTTTCTCTGTGATCTCACAATCGGTCAAGAAGTTTGCCTCATCGCTGCTAAACTGGCAAGAGCTTAGGCAAAGCAATGCCTCACAAGGAAACAAACTTTTCCTCTAGGAAGAACAGATGTGAAAGTAAAAACTGTCTCCTTATTTCTGTTCGTCAAGCCAGATCCTTCCCAGGAAGTTCTTGGTTTAGGGCCTACCCTGCTTCAGACTACACCCAAGCCAGCTGTTCACTTCTGCAAAATATCTGTTCTTCCCTTCCCAAGGCTCTGCACGTACCTTAATTTTCCTAAGACGCTTCTGCCAATGGGTAAAGCAAAGTCTCCAGTTTCTGTCCCACATACTTTCCCTTTGAGAGCTCCAGTTCCTTGCCCTGAGCTGCTGCTGCTGCTGTGTGTGGCAGAGTGACCACTGATTGCTCCACTGGATGTACGGTGAAGGCTTGAGGCCTTAGATGAGAAGGAGCTGACATCACCAAGGTCTCCCGAGGTCAGTGATGAGCCCACTGCAGTTCTGGAGGAGGATGTGTCAGTCTCACACTCCTGGCACTCCACTACAGGCTCCTCAGTTTCCTTAAGAGAGAAGAGAAAAAAAAGAAAGAAAAAAGAAGAGGTTTGTCAAAGATAACACACTTGCTACATGGAAGCTCTACAATCACCAGGCAAAAGTGCAGACAAGATGAGCCCACATTCATGAAACTGAAGACAGCCATGCAGATTTGAGTCTGAACTGATCAATGGTAGACAGTGTATCTCTCACTATAGCCTTGTGGCTGCTCTGTATAAAGAAGTCACATTAAGAAATCAATCAACAGGACAGAGCTTGGTTGGTATCAAATTAGTCTAGCTTTGAGTAATTCTCTCCCTTCGAGGGTGTGAGAGTGCAATAAATACATGAGACACTAGCGGCCTTTGGTTACTAATAATCCAAGATCATTTTCAGACAGCTAGTCACTTGGAGTCATTAAAGTTTTATGGATATAAAAATATGTATCTACAAAATACTGATGTCAAATGTTGGTAGATAAATTGAAAATGGTTCTATGATTGTCATTACACAACCTATGTAAGTACATTGCCCAGAGAAGCTGTGGATGCCCCTGGCTCCCTGGCAGTGTTCAAGGCCAGGCTGGATGGGGCTTTGGGCAACCTGGGCTAGTGGAGGGTGTCCCTGCCCACGGGACTAGATGACCTTTGAGGTCCCTTCCAACCCAAACCATTCTATGATACTATGATTTTAGGAAACTTAATTCTCTATTATAATGTTACAATAAGCAATTTCATGCGTAGCATGAGGTGTGAAAGTATAAGCTTTGCACTGAACTAATTAATAATTTTGTGTCATTACTCATCGTAACAACACAGCACAACACTCTTATGTACCTTTATAGCAGAATAGCAGTAACATTTTATTGCTAGCAAGCTGATAGGATTACTGTGCACATTAAGTCAGCATTTGTCAGCTATCTTTTGAGATTCCCTAAAGATCTTCCAGTTAATGAATGGACATACACCAACACAACCGTACTAACAATAAGCTTGTTTATTTTTTTGTTTTAAGTTGCTTTTTGTAAACCTCTTACAGAATCTGGTCCACAGGACTCAAAAGAGTGCAGTTAAAAATGACACTGAGCTGCAAAACTGGCTAAACTACGTTACATAGTTCAATTTTACAGGCAGAAGTGATCTTTGCTTACTAACAAAATTTCCGCCTATTCTGAAATATCTCTACTCTGACAAAATCCCAAGAATTTCAAAACAGTCAGACAGACATAGTAAAGTCATTTGTCCAGTTCTTTGGGAACAAAAAAAAAAAGTGTGTCTTCAGAATACAGTAACGGGCATGAAATACACCAGCAACAAATACACAGCTTTCGCCATGCACTAGATGGTCTACATGTTTGCTCATGAAGAAAAGTTTGTCATCGCAGCATGTTGACTTGTTCACACAACTCGTTTCCCACAGCCACAACACATTCTCATTTTAATTAATTTTATTTTTCAGCCAACATATCATTACATTTAGCCCTGAAAACAAGAACTTACCTCAACTACCTTTCGTTCCACCTCTGCACCATTTATATAGTAAACATCTGTTGTAACACGTGTAACAACAGTGCGCACTTCTCGAATGGTTCGCACGTGGCGATGCTGAACTCGGCCTTTGGGTGGGTGAAGAAGGTTAAACTCTTCCTCTCCCTGTAATAAACAGGACAAATTAAAAACAAATCAGACCACAATGAAAAGCAAATAATTTCTGGGAAGAGCTATCTCTGCAGTACAGTTTCTTCATACCATGTTCAAGCACTGGTGCAGGGAACCTTTCAGCATCTTGTTACAAATTAGATGCAACAACATAAAAGACCCTAAACAAGGGAGAACTGAACACATTTTGCTGACTTGCTTATGGGTAGAGGAAGGGAAATCATAGCAGTCCAAGGAGGAAACAGTAAACTTGCTTAGCATGGCTTCTGATACTCTTTCATTCAGCGGACACTCAGACATATCACATCAATGTTGCACTGCGTATTTATGGCCCTGTTAATCTCCTGTTTCCCAGAGGACGCACTATTCTTAAGTTCAGAAAAAAGCATTTTTCTACTCTTTGTATTCACAAGAAAATATACAAGTTGTAACTGCAAAGCCGTGATTTCTCTTGAGTCTGCAATACTTTCTGAAATACTAATCCAAAGTTATTCATCCAGTTACAATGTTCATCTGGAGGAGCTCTCCCCTCCTGTGTTTATCCACTGACATTGGATGGAGTGGCAGAACAAGCTGTCAGAAGTTAGCTGGTGCAAAAGAGAAGGCATCAAATCCTTCATTCAAAATTTCATGCAACTCCCATCTCCGTTCAACAAAAATTGAAATTTTTTTTTTTACAGTGTTAGCTACATCTGGACACACAAAACCAACCAACCAAAACTTGTCATATCTTTCCAGAAAATAAATATGGAAACATTTACTTCCCAACCTTAGCAGTTGTGTACAGTTGATACAGGAAAGCTTGAGACATTAACATTTTAAAGTGGTCTTCTGGCTTTTTTCAACAGAGAACCTACTGTTAGTGAATTTACTGGCTGAATGGATACTTTACTGTTCTAAAGCAGTAAAATTAAATACAGGCAGCCTTCATCCCACCTGACTGTGCAGAGAGTCCGCGTGCTCTCCAGAGGCATTCACAAGCTTTTCCCCACTCTCCTCAGTTTGGACATTCGCATCTTGTCGCCCAGGTCTTTCCCCAGACATACTGGTTCCCACTTCCACCTGCCTATAGATTTCTTCTGACGTTTGTGTTGCTGTTGTAACGGTTGTTGGGGTAAAAAGACAGTCTGCTGTAGTTTGAATGCCTTTATTCTTGGTGTTCGCCCACCTCTCTCGGCTTTCATCAATTTTAACAGCCTTACTTGGTTTCTTCTGTGTTCTTCTCCCTTCCTCTGTCTGAGTGCTTACAATACCAGCCTCCAGAGATGACTCATCCTCTGCACCAGAAGGTTGTTGATGGCAGTCCTGCTGCATCCTCTGAGGAATTAGGACCTGTCCACCACTGGGATCTTTATGTAATTCAGCATCTTCTTGTGTGCCAGGAAAACTGAACAGATTCCCCCTGCAAACCAGTTATATAGAGATCAAAATTATTGACTAAAAAAGCAAGAGAACCAATATGCTGCCACTTAAGTGAAAGCACTATAAAAAAAACCCAAACAACTGGCAGTCATTCAATTGCTTCTTAAGATTGCACAGAATTCAGTGAGTCTCAAATTATAAAATAACCTTTCAACATTTCTCAAGTGATTCACATGGTAGCAAGAAGAATGGCTGACACCTGTAGAGAACTAGGTGCTTTTCCAAACACTAATAAAGCAATCTATACTCCACATGTCAGGCACCAACTATGCAACATGCTCCTGGAAGTCATCATGCCATCTTGAAGTTGCTACAGGCTGCTTCAGGACTTCACTGGCTTGAAACTGATAATCACACCTAGTGAGAAAAGGCAGGAGCATAAACACAAACGCTGTCTGATGTCTTCATTAGAATTTGCCTGCCCTGTCAGAAGCGTCATCAGGTACTATATGGGACTGTATACTGAGCCTCACTCTAAGTACACATTTGGCTTCCCTCATGTACTTGAGGACTTTGAGGAGTGGCTGTCTTCCGTTCTGTCTGTACATCGCCCAGTACTGGAACTCCCTATTCATTATGGTCTTTAGTACAACTGTTCAATGCTCTTGAAATACAGGTTACTCTCTCTCCATAGACCAAGACCTCACTGCCCCATCAAAAGATAGAATGGAAAACACCGAAGAAGGAGATTTCTACAGCTGGTCCTCCAGCCAGCATCCTTATCACCGTAAGATATGCAGCAGTACAGTCCTTTCCAAAGCAACCAGAGACAGCAAAAATCAATGGACTTGGAAGGGAGACAATAGCAGAAACAATAATAAACACAATAGGTCAGAAGATCTTGGAACAGGAGAAAGAAAAGGTATTTAACAGCTGTAAGTATGATCTCAGTTCTCTAAAGCCCCAGATTTTACCAAAGGATATTAGCCAGCTGGAATCACATCGCTGCTCAGTCAAAAAGATAAGTCTGATTACCATGTGAGATACAAACATTCAGTACTTACTATACTTACCCTGTTATCCCCAACCTTCTAAGTCACCCAAAGACAGTGACTTTGTGCAATTTCTTTGATGTAGAAAATGCACATGTGCATATAAATCCAACCAGGACTGGCAGGCAAAGACTGTGAGGAGTTACCTAAATGGAGAAGTGGAAAGACCATGACCTCTGGCCTCATCCTCTCGACGAACTTCACAGACACGACTAAACACAGATGATGCTTTCTGGGAGCTAGCAGTGCAGATTTAAAACAAACAGACAAACAAAAAAAGCATCAGGGAATGAGAAAATCTCTTATAAAGCAAACCAAGAGTTCTCTAGCCCCCTGGGAAAGCAACAACTGGTATTAAGCTTGTTGACCTACACAGCCACAGAATGAGTGAGATGTGGTCAGTCTCAAAGGTTGAGAAACAAGCAGCAATTGCATAAGCATTTCTGTTATTTCTGCAGACACCCTAACAGCCAAGAGCAATGTAACAATTCCAGAAAATGTAGTACAGAAAACTGCAGCACCATCAGGACTTTCACCATCTACTACCTCTGGTACCCACCAAGGGAAAACAGACCATTTACGGCTTACTGCTCAGGATTTTCATGACACCACAAAAATATGGGTAATGACAGTCATAAAGCAGACCCTGAGAGATCAAGTTCATCCTATACCCACAAAGACAACCCATCCTTCAACCAGTGAGGAATGACTGCCACTCAGCACTGAGGCATGATTACCATCCAGCATGCAATCCTGCGACAAGAGATACTGAGTTTATTTCAAAGTTTTCTCACTGCTTCAAACCATTATACTTCACTCAGATGACCACAGGTCACACTCTTCTGACTCAGATTCTTATTAGTACTTACAAACCGTACTCCCCAAAAGCTAAAATCAAGCAATGGTAGGCATCAAATGTGAGATAAGATGAATACATACAAATCAAAAGACCAAAGGAATAACTTATGTTCTGGTCAACGTGTTAACTGATTTCAGTACATCGGTGACCTGGTTAAGTTTCTATCAGCTTCATATCAAAAAAGAGAATTCTCTTTCAGAACTCCTCAGGGATTCTTTGCAGAAAATCGTACGATAAGGAAAGAAAGCAGAAAACCACACATTTGAAGTTTAAGAGGTGGATACGGCAGAATTGCATTCCAGACTGCACCAACACACGAATTTCTGCTTTGACTACAATCAGATGGAGGCAAAATGCTGACATTAGTAGGAAGCACAAACCCCGTAGTGAAAGAGCAGGCGGGGCACCCTTGCCTATGTACTTAAAACCTGCTGCAAGAGCTAACAAGTTAATGTCGTGGCTACTGCTAAAAGCATTCCATGCTTCTGTGTCTCATTTTAAATTTTTTTTCCCTGCTGCTGGTGACGAACAGAAAAAAGGATCTACCCAGACCCTCTGCGCAGCAACAAGACCCATTACCTGGCAGCAGCCCCGGCAGCAGGAGAGGATCCATCTTTCCTGTCACTGGCTGTAGGCTCTGAAACAAGAAGGAAGGGAAGGATGATTTCGGTGTCACTTGAACAGACTCTCCTGCCCCTTCCAAGTCCCCCACACTCAACAAAGAGAGGGGTTGAGTAAAGCTGAACAGAGGGTGCCCAGGCCTCCCTGCCTAACTTCTCATCACAGACCTGAGTTTCTACAAGTTTTAGACTACTAGACTGAACATCACTGTTCTGATTAAAAGGGTATCAAACTTTTTTGTCCAGATTATATTTTTAAAATCTTTTCCCTCCCAATATAATCAAACTCCAGCTCCCGTCCTGTGATGTTGCCACTATACATCACAATTTTTAGTCTGCTGGAAATACCTTTCCTCACAACAGAGGCCTCTCCTGTCACTCCATCCTTGCTTAGAGCATTGCAGAAACAGAGAAACAAATTTAAGTGATACTGCTCAAAAAGAAAAATGAGAAAAATCACAGAGACTCAGAGACTGTCTCAGGAAATGCCGCAAAGAGTATATGAGTTAGGGCCGAGATTTAGTAGGACCTGTATATGTTTCAAGGTTTCATCCTCTTACTTTCCAAGCTGAATGGCAGGGACTCCTCACTCCCATCATTCACAGGGGTAACAACGTTCATTCGCAGAGAGAGTTTTGCGTCAGCCTCAGGAACCACACGAGAATCTCCTTTCTCGCACACTTCTGACACATCTGCTGATACCATTGCACTTTCCACGGTGACATTGTTGGTCCCCATTGAGCCCTCTGCTGTAACATCACTAGTTGCTATAGTGCTGTCTGGGCAACTATCATCCACTGAAAATAGGAAAGCAAAAAAGTAAACCAAAAACTAGCTACTGTCATTCACACTGCTCGGGTTCAGGTCCTGGTTCCATTTTCAAGACGCTTCACTGCATACATTTTACTAGCAGTTGTGCAGTAGTGGAAAGTCCTATCTAGAGTTCTGAAGCACCAAAGTTCTGTAGCACGGGCATCATCCTTAGCTTGCCACAGAATACTTTACTATTACACAATACACACTTCCTTTCATCCAGCAAATGCAGGGTTGCTCTGTGAACCTAGCAGAGCAAGTCCTGCTAAAAGATGATGAATACTGGGAACAATCTTCTTTTAGTCTAAGCTCCTTCACTACTCAGAGGGGTCTTTTGCATTCTTTAATGGAGTTGTATGCAGGAAAGCAACAAGTGCAAGGAAGACACGTTCCATATCACCCCATACTCAGGGAGCAAACACCTTCACTAGAGAACATAACAAGGAAAGTGTGAAGAAGAGATGAGCTGTCCCCATAGAACAGCAATGCTTTTTGCCAAGGTAGGTTTGAGCTGTCCCATCAGATCCTGCATCAAAAGCTTCCAAACAGGCTTTCACTGCAGAACAGAGCCATTCGGGTCAAACTCACCAATTGGTGTGCTGTGTCTTCTGGGTCCCATTTTAAGCTGGCCAATAAGAGGTGGCGTTATGCTGGTCAAGGGCTGAATGACGTCACCCTCCTTTGGCAAAGTAAAATGAAACGGGGTTCCTAAGAGACAGAGAGCACCAGGATTACTAATTTCAGGGGAACACTTTGGTTCAAATACCAAATACATAGATTCACTGTGCTGTGGAAATGGGGAAAAGCATAACCCTGGTGCTGTCCTGTACTAAAACCCGCCTGAACAGTTACTGGTTTCAGGACAGCTGCTCTAACTGACCTTCCTCACATTTTGTGTGGAAAATCTCTCTCTGTGAAAATCTGGTCAACTTGATGCAGCTGTCCCCAGGTACTAGGTAAAAGTGAGAGTAAATATCCTGACATGAATAGGACTTTTACAGAATGCAGCTTTGCTTCAGAAATGCTCAGGATTTTCCACAGAAAAGGGAGATGAAGCCAGAAACAGAAATGAAGGTTAGCACAGAAGTGAATTGGCAGAGCTATGTGTTGCCTGAATTAATAACCTGAAACTTACACAGAATGATGGTTTATCATCAAACAGCCTTAGATCAAAGGTCAGCAGATACACTTCAGATAGCCACGTATAAGCCCAAACAATTAGTAGCAGTCAATTAAGGGTTAGATGATGACAGCAGAAACTTGCCTGGAAAGTAAGCTTTAAGAGAAATAACAGGTACTGCAGTTTCATAACCAGCTGCAGGCTGCCACCAGGAGTTGACCTCATCCTCCTATCCTATCCAATACTTCATAGAATCATAGAATGGTTTGGGTTGGACCTTAAAGATCATCTAGTTCCAGCCCCCCTTGTTGTCCCAACAACACCCTGGGGTCTGCATGGTCTATGGGCTGAGGTAGCCTATCCCATCAGGGAAACCACGCCTTGGTGGATTAACCATGTGCGGATCTTGCAGGATTTAACAGATAAAATATATTAAAAACCTAGCATAATGCTCCCTCCTTTTGCCTCACCCCATGCCATTTATTTGCAAACCTTCAACATCATATAGCAGTAATTTGCAGGCTGCATTCTTCCCAAATTGCATAGAAGTATTTAACAAAACTAACAGAATAGCCATTTCTTCCCCACACTGAGGTCAAAAGAGGTTTTCATCACCTTTGTCACCATCCTTCCTTTTCCTAAAACTGTGTTTCTTCTTTGGATTTCATTCAAGATACCACTTGAAAAGTGCAATTTACATATCTCCTGAATTTTAAGAAGCATGTATTAAAAAAACCCCAAAACTAAACAGTATTGGAAAATTGTTAGTTAAGGTCACGAGAATACAAATTCAAGGTACTTAAATTCAAAAGCTAGCACTAGATACTCAGATACAACTTTTAGTTATAGCCAGATGCAGTGCTTCATTCTTCAGTTACACAATATGCTGACATACAATTTACACAACTACCTTGTGGCAAATGAAGCCATAAATACATGACAAAGACATAATCCCCTCACAGAAAAAAATCCCGAACAGTGAAAAGCTATCTACTGTCGATCTGAAAACTTTGAAAACCATCACTTGCTCTGTTGTCACAAGTTTTAAAGATACAGTTCAGCAACTGCAAATCCTTGAAATCAACCTGTATTTTTGCAGTGGGCAGGTATTTCATAGTGCAATGGTACTCACACTTTGTGGGTACACCACGTATTGAAACTACCATTCCTCACAAGCAGCTTATGAATGCCTGTCATATCATGACCTATAGCAAATCTCCATTTAAAAAGTGTTTTATTTAAAAACGGAAGCCTTTAGAAACTCTACTGAATTTTGATCAATTTCGTACCACAATCCCTTCTAGCCTACAAATCCACATTTGGCAGGCTAGTAACAAATAATCAAAAGAATTTATGAATCATAGAATCATAGAATGGTTAGGGTTGGAAAGGACCTCAAAGATCATCTAGTTCCAGCCCCCCTGCTGCAGGCAGGAACACCCTCCACTAGACCACATTGCCCAAAGCCTCATCCAACCTGGCCTTGAACACTTCCAGGGATGAACTGATCAGCCTGCACTTTAATAAGAGATAACCTAGTTACTAAACCAACAGATACCATCAGAGAAAATAAACAAGCTTTCACACTCACAAGACCTGTAAAATATGTGTATGCCTGAAAGCTTAATTGCTTTCACATAACTGCATCAACTGTTGTAACAATGGTTATAAAGGTTAATTTTCTATACAAACTAATTTGCTTGGGTAACACTTTCACAGGGAGAGCTGGACGTTTCTAGCACAGTGCCGATGGCAACTACCTGCGTAGCACAAAACTGCACCCTCATAATGGAAGGAGACAAAGGAATCTCCCAACACTGTGTCAAACTAAGTGAAGCAGAGCTATCATCCTCTTCTCTTCTAGATGAAGAGAGATGTCCCACCACTTCTTCTGCATATTGTGATGCTTCTTGCACGCTACTACTACATGGATGGCCAGCCTGCAGCTCTCAAGCAGTTCAAGCACAGCTCCCTCTGCTCTAGTTCTCTCCTGCTCATCACCTCTACAAGAGCTGTGGCACACGTACTGTGGCTGTGAGCCACATGAAGATCTACAGAGAAGGCTAGCAGTAGTGGATGGCCAGTCTGTTTTCTATGCATATAGAAGGGAAGGAAAAACCCCAAAACCACCACCCCAAGGAACCCCATGCCTTCTATGTAAGAACTTTTTCTTTCTCTTTTAAAAAGCCCTTTCTTAGCTCTGTTCTTAAATCATTAGCACAACTATTTAATAGACAGGACAAAAGCTTGATTACATACATTTTTCTCCACTGGTAATTCCTATCTAGCTGTGATATATCAAAGGACCTCATTAGAAAATAACAACTTTACTTCCACAGTCTTCCAGATTAAGAATCAGCACTCTAGACAGGCCTGAGGCAATGTTAAAAAGCTTTAAGAGCTTGACAACATAACTCTTCATTATTTTAATAAAAATATTAACTTTTTATTTAATGTGGTATGCTTAAACTTTATAACTATGTTAACTGTTTATCTGTTTCTTCTTTATTTTATATTACCAGTAAAGAGATAACTTTCTGAGTTAAGTTTTTGTATGTACAAAGTTGTACCATCTACAAAAAAGATTTTACAGAACCACAACTTCTAGAAACTCCATAGAGTCCTAGAAACAGACTTCAATGAGTAAGTATCTTTCCTGTATCTCTATAGTCAATCGTGTTCTAGCTTCTGAGCATTTTTTAGTAAAGTAACTAAACACTTAGTATCTTATTCAAGGCAATTTCAAAACCAAAAAGACACCCCCCCAAATCTCACCATCCAGTTTCTACTGCTTCTTGGACACTTCTCCAAGATCCTTCTAGTCCTCACCCAAAGTTTGTGCTTACTGATGTATGCTTCCTAATGTTGATAAGGGATTAGACTCCTATTGGAAATAACTACTACGAGAACAAAGCTGCTTTAAGAGAAGAAGGATGCTCTAAAACTCTTCATGCCTTAAGGACTGAGTGATGGTGAAAGAGCAAACATCATTCTAGATACTTTTCCACCATGCTTCATGAGTCTGAAGACAGCAGGCAGAACCATCTCAAAAGCCTGAACACTCTGCTGATACCAATCAGCCCTTTAGTGTAATACAAATGCGCAAAACACAACCACCAGCATTAATTTCCAAGTTAATTTTCTCCAAACAGTGGCTTATTGTTCTCTTTCGCTAGTAAATCCAGCCACCTGTGATGTGTTTAAGTTTCACTTATATTGTACTTGAAATGTTTTTTCTTAGATAAAGCTAACAAGGGAAATGTCACCTCAGGTTAAATGCAATTTTGTTCATGGTGTCTTAAAAAGGAAGTTTTGGATTGTGAGCTCTGTGAAAGGCTATACTGAAGCGGAACATAACATTCAATCTCGTTATGCAACTACAGCCACTCATCTTTATTTTATCATCATCTCAGCAGTGTACTGCCAAATGTATCATTTTATTTAATAAAATCTATACTGTTCTTAAGTTCAAAAACCAGTACTATTCACTTGACTATGCCAAATTGTCTTAAGAAACATGCAGTCCCAGCATACTAAATGCCCTGGACTTGTTCACAGAAAAGTTAATTGGGGATCACAAAATGCAATGGGATCAGAACACCTTTGAAGTTCCTGACCAGTATTTTGACCAGATCCCCTCAAAGCATTATTTTCTATATAACAAAGCTTTTTTCTTCTTTCTTCTTAAAGGCAATTAAGAATACTGTATCTAAAACATCATCATTCAACTTCATGTTGAGCTCCAGCAATCTTTGCACTTCCCTAATAGGATTAATAGAAGGGAAATAGATTTTCTGATACTAATATCAATTTCCTCCATTCTTGCCATGTGAAGTTTCTACATAAAATTTAAGTTCTCAGACTTCAAAGTTTTCAGAATTAAGGGGCATCAAATGAAACTAACACCTGGTGAAATAGAGTTGTTTTTTTACCCAGTATATAATTTAAACTGTCAAACTTCCTACTGAAGTAAGCTTTGCAGCCTAAAAGTTTACAGATGTTCGAAAAAACACACACGGAAATGCCATGGTGGGCGAGAAAAAACACCTATTGAAGATATCAGAAAACAAAGACATCACTTCAGACTCAGCATGTTCCTAAACCACACTTTTCTTGATGATGAAGGAGAAACTTCTTCAGAAGTATCTCCCCACTGCATTTTTGCCCTTATATTCATCCACATGCATCTGCTACTCAATACTGGGGGAACTTGTATACCAAGCTAGATTGATGCAGTATAACTGTTCTTCTAACTGCTGTAGTATCTCAATTCACAGAGACCATGATTTTCAGTCTTTAATTCAGAGTTATCACAAAGGCACAATGACCTATTGCAAGCCACTGAATGGGAAAGACTGAAAAAACCCCACCCCAACAACAAAGCATTAAATGCTCTAACACTAACAAAGAATCTGGTCGTCTTTGTCCACAGAGTATCTCAAAACCTGGGGATTCAGATTTTATGTGCAGTGTCCAAAATTTGTCACTGAAGCTTCCCCTCCCCCCTAATTTGAAAAATATAGTATGATTCAATTGTACCACTTATAAGCAATATTCAAAACTTTCCCTAAATATCATTAGCGAGACA